GCACCTTGTCAAAGGACTTCTGGAAATCCATAAATCATGTCCATTGGCTCTCTTTTGTCTAAATTGCTCATTACCTTCTCAAAGAATTCTAACGGATTTGTCAGGCATGACCTCTCCTTGATGAAGCCATGCTGACTCCAACCAGTTTACCAAGCAATTTCAAGTACTCTGCAATCTCATCTTAATAATAGACTCCAAAATCTGATCAACGACCAAGGTCAGGCTAATCAGCCTATAGTTTCCTGCCTTTTGCCTCCCTCCCTTCTTAAACAGGGGTGTTACATTGGTCACTTTCCAGTCCTCTAGGACCTTGTCTGACTGCAGTGATTCCTGAACGATCACCACCAATGCCTCTACAATCTCCTCAGCTGGCTCCTGCAGAACTCTGTGGTGTAGTCCATCTGGTCTGTGTGATTTATCTGCCTTCAGACCTCTCAGCTTCCCCAGCACCTTCTCCTTAGTGATGGTCACTGCACTCACTTCTGCCTGCTGACTCTCTTGAAGTTCTGCAGTGCTGCTGATATCTTTAACCATGAAAACTAATGCAAAGTACCTATTCAGTTCCTCCACCATTTCTTTGTTCCCTATTGCTACTTTATCCAGCCTCATTTTCCAGTGGTCCAATGTCCACTCTTGCCTCTCTCTTACCACTTAGATAGCCAAAAAATCCCTTGTAATCTTCTTTTACAACACTAGCTTGCTTACTCTCATTTCATTTTCTGCCCTGTTACTGGTTTTTTCAGTTATCCTCTGCTGGTTTTTAAAGGCTTCCCAGTCCTCTGGCTTCCCACTCATCTTCACCACATTGTTTGCTTTTACTTTTATGCTTTCCTGACTTCCCATGTCAGCCATGGTTACTTCATCCAACCCTTAGTATGTTTCTTCTTCCGTGGGATGAATTTCTGGTGTGCTTCCCAAATTACCCCCAGAAACTCCTGCCATTGCTGCTCCACCATCTTCCCTGCATGGCTCCCCTTCTAATTAACTCTGACCAGCCCCTTCCCCATGACTTTGTAGTTACCTTTACTCACTTGTAATACCATTACATCTGATTCAATCTTCTCTCAAACTGCAGGGTGAATTCTATCATATCATAATCACTGCTCCCTAGGGGTTCCTTCTCCTTCACCATCCTAAGCAAGTCTGCATCATTACACATCACTAAGTTCAGAATTGCCTATTCTCTAGTGGGTCTACCACAAGCTGCTCCAAAACAAAACTAATAGACATTCCACAAATTCCTTTTCTTGAGATCTGCTACCAACCTGATTTTCCCAGTCCACCTGCATATTGAAGTCCCCCAGGGTTACTGCAATAGTGCCTTTCTAACGTGCCTTTTCTATCTCCTGATTTATTTTCTGCCCCATATCCTGATGACTTTTAGGAGGCCTGTACACAACTCCCATCAGGACCTTTTTCCTTCGCAGTTCCTCAACTCTACCCATATCGATTCTACACCTTCCAGCTCTCTATCACTTCTTGCTATCGATTTAATTTCATTGCTTACTGACAAGGCAATGCCACCTTCTCTGCCCATCTGCCTGTCCTTTCAAAAGGACGTGTATCCTTGGATATGTAGTTCCCATCGCTGATCCCCTTGCAGCTACATTTCTGTGATAGCCACAACATCAATTCCAGTATACGCTATAAGCTCATTTACTTTGTTTCATGTGCATTTAAGTACAACACCATCAATCCTGTGTTGACTGCCCATTTTTCATAGTTGCCCCTTATCTGCTGTGCCTGAAGTTAGATTCCTGACCCTTTCCGTATCCTCCATCCTAATACTTGTTCTTGAAACTTTAACCTCTGCCAACAGAGTGAACCTTCTCTGCACTGCTTCAATGCTAGTATATCTTTCCTTAGATAGACAGACAGAATTTGTTCACAGTATTCCAGCTGTAGTCCAACCAGTGCCATTTATGGTTTGGTTTTTTTAATACTGAAATCCCTTTGAAATAAAGGCCACTTATATATTTGCCTTTCCTGTTATCTGCTGAAGTTGAATTGTCCCATAAGAAGAACTATCCTCTCCTGTAAATACCCCTCAGGATTTTATATAATCTCATCAAATTGTCTCTTATTCTTCTAAACTCCAGTGCCTAGTCTGTCTAACTTTTGCTCGTAACCAGTTGAGTTCAGAAAGTAGGTACATTCTAACAGAACCTCAAGCAGCAGGTGGCAACTGTGAGGAAGGCCAGGCAGCCTTCAAATTGACACTGTCTGGAAAAAATAGTGTCTTTTTGGAGAGGTAGGAGGACTCATGGGAAGATGGCTTCATTCCATGTATATACTGTGGATATTTCCTCACTTAACCTTAATTTCCCTTCATGTTTATAACAACCCAATGCCAGTGTAATAGAGAATCCCTGCTTCAGGATATTTGAAGGTAGTTGAACACTTGGGATCCAGGGTAATTTGACAAGATCAATCCAAGATTGGCTTAATGATGAGAGGTAGTGTGATGGCAGAAGGCCGTTTCTACGACTGGAGGCCCGGTGACCAGTGGCGTATCGCAGAGATTGTGCTCTGTCCCTTATTTTTGTCATATAGGTATCGTTAGCTCAGTTGGCTGGATGGCTGCTTTGTGGTGCCAACAGTATGCGTTCAATTCCTGCTCGGGCTGAGGTTACCATGAAGGTCTGTCCTTCTCAAACTCTCCCCTTGTCTGAGGTGCGGTGACCCTCTGGTTAAACCATCGCTGGTCCTCTCTCTTTCTAATGAGAGTGTGGCAACTTTACTTTTTACTACAAGGGGATGATCAGGGGGAGGTGATGGTCTAATGATATTATCACTGGACTGTTAACCCAGATAACATTCTGGGGATCTGGGTTCGAATCCTGCCACGGCAGATGGTGGAATTTGAATTCAATAAATATCTGGAATTAAGAGTCTAATGATGACCATGTTGTCGGAAAAACCCATCTGGTTCACTAATGTCCTTTAGGGAAGGAAACTGCCAT